CTGAGGTGGAAGGATCGCCAGAACCCAGCAGGTCGAGGCTGCGGTGGCCGGGAGCAGCCACTGTACTCCAGTCTGGGCGACCGAGTGAGACTCCAACTAAAAAAAAAAAAAATTAGCCAGGCGTGGTCGCGCGCGCCTGTGGTTCCAGCTGAGGCGGAAGGATCCCCGGAGCCCAGTAGGTCGAGGCTGCGGTGGCCGGGAGTGGCCACTGCACTCCAGTCTGGGCGACTGAGTGAGACTCCAACTCAAAAAAGAAAAGCCAGATAATACATATAGAGCTAGTCTCTCCCCTGAAATTTACCCCAAGAGCTGGAAAATATTTCTAGTAGGAAATTTTAGTTTGTGTTTTACTTGTGTTAACTTTGGAATAAGCGTTAACTTTGGAGTAAGCACACCTCAGCAGGCCTTTCTTTGGCACAAGTCATCATACTGCTTGAGTTTATGTACAGGTTACTTTTTTTGAGTCTTACAACTTTATTAAAACTATGAAAACAAAAAATTTTCCCAATTCAAGTACAACTTTGGCTTGTTCCATGAAATTCCATGCAAGTCATTTTTTTTTTTTTTGAGTCAGAGTTTCACTCTGTCGCCCAGACTGGAGTGCAGTGGCCGCTCCTGGCAACCGCAGCCTCAACCTGCTGGGTTCCGTTGATCCTTCCACCTCAGCCTTCCAAGTAGCCGGAATTACAGGTATGCGCCACCACGCCCGGCTGATTTTTTGATTTATTGTAGGATGAGGTCTCGCTGCCCAGGCGGGTCTCGAACCCACGGACTCAGACAATCCACTCACCTCAGGCTCCCAAAGGCACAGGATTACAGGCTGAGCCACCGAGCCCGGCATGCAAGTCATTTTTAAGAAAAATTTATTACAGTGATGTGTGGGGTACAAGTCAGGATTAGGTACATGAGTGGTTTGCAAGGTGACTTGTTTTATGTAAACTGATTTTTAGCAATTTCAAACAATGAATTGGTGAAATATTGTGGAATCTGAAAGCTCATGCTTCAAGGTTTTTATCCTTTAGGTTAGATCAGGTTATCAGCTATTGAGTAGTATAAGACACCATACCTAAATTTGATACTACTTTTACTCAGAGGTTAGATTGCTTGATGCTCACTGTAGAGTAGGAAAATCCAGACATGGAGGACCTTGACATGGACCCAGAGAATGGTCTATGAAGGAGAGATCCAGAGCTATACCTCAAAACTGAGGAACCTAAGAGTTTATAAAAAGTTTGTTGGTTTTCACTTTCAATCTCTGGACTTTTTGAGATCTGTTTTAAAAAGTGGAATTTTAGCCGGGTGTGGTGGTGCATGCCTGTCGTTCCATATGCTTAGAGGGCTCACCTGAGCCCAGCAGGTCGAGGCTGCGGTGGCTGTGAGCGTGCCACTGCACTCCAGCCTGGGCAACAGTGACTCCAACTCAAAAAAAGTAGAATTTCACTTAATTACTGAGTCGTCAGACCATGCTTGTTTTATTTATTTATTTATTTATTTATTTTTTTTGAGTTAGAGTCTCACTCTGTTGCCCAGATGGAGTGCAGTGGCCGCTCCTGGCCACCGCAGCCTCAACCTGCTGGGCTCTGGTGATCCTTCTGCCTCAGCCTTCTGAGTAGCCGGAATTACAGGCACACACTACCACGCACGACCAATTTTTGATTTATTGTAGAGATGAGGTCTCACCAAGTTGCCCAGGTGGGTCTCGAACCCGCAGGCTTAGGCAATCCACTCACCTCAGCCCCCAAAGCACAGAATTACGGGCTGAGCCACCAATCCCGGCTCATGCTTGTTTTATAAAGCAAGAGATATCTAATATAAGATAAATTGGATAGTTTGGAGATTCCATTTATGCAATTGATTAATTTCATTTACTGTTAGCAGAAAATATTAGATGAATTTAGGCTATTTGCAGGTATTAAACATTAAAATCATTTGGAAAAAAATATATGTAAAGGTTTCCAGTTGTTCAATTGCTTGACTTACCATGTTCACTTAATATATCAAATGCCTCTTAACACCTAACTGTAATGCCTGATAATAGTAGCTGTTTATTAAGAACTGAAAGAATGAATAAATTTAACTGTTCTTTTTTAAGGTTAGAAACGACAACTAACGCCAAACATGAAAGATCCAAGTCGCAGTAGTACTAGCCCAAGCATCATCAATGAAGATGTGATTATTAATGGTCACTCTCATGAAGATGACAATCCATTTGCAGAGTACATGTGGATGGAAAATGAAGAGGAATTCAACAGACAAGTTAGTTTTGTGTATAAACATTTTTTGGTAGCTGATTACTGCCCTCAATGATTCTTGTGTTTGTCCCTGAAATGTATTGTTTGTCTTGTTTTTTTTTTGAGTTGGAGTCTCACTCTGTCACCCAGACTGGAGTGCAGTGACCGCTCCCGGCCACCGTAGCCTCGACCTACTGGGCTCTGGCTATCCTTCCACCTCAGCCTTCCAGGTAGCTGGAACTACAGGCGGTTGCTACCACGCCCGGCTAATTTTTGATTTATTGTAGAGATGAGGTCTCGCCAAGTTGCCCAGGCGGGTTTCGAACCCGCAGGCTCAGCAATCCACTCACCTCAGCCTCCCAAAGCGCTGGGATTACAGGCTGAGCCACCGAGCCTGGCTGTGTCTTGTTCTTTATATGTCACCACTCCTATTTTATTTGGCTGATGATTACTACCGGGCTTAACTACTTCTGAAATAACTTGAGGAGCCTGTTTCTGGGTCCCGCCCTGGATATTCTGATTCAGGAGGACTAGGGTGGAGCCTGGGAAACTGTTTTTAAAAAGCTCCCAGAGACTTCCAGTGAGCAATCGGATTTGGAAACCACTACCTTATGCCAATCAGATTGCTATGATACAGTGGAAGTCAAGAGAATTGAAGTATCAGGAGCAGACAGGCACAGAAACTGAGATGCAAAATTATGCTGCTTTTCACCTGATGTCCTCAATCTTATCAGCCTCAAAAAAATTTGATACCACTCTTTTCTTTACAGAATTGTCATATGTTGATAAATGTTGTCCTTTATTCCCATATTTCTGGCATCTGTTCCCATCTGTCTTCTAATTTCTTCCCTGATGATGTCTTTGGTACTTAGTAGCCAGCTTGACATCTCCATCTCCAGTGATAGATAATTCAGGAGTAAAACAATTTAGTCTTATTTCAGTGAGGATCAGTTGTATGTATGTTTGTTGTTGTTTTGTTTTATTTTTTGAGTTGGAGTCTCACTCTGTCCCCTAGGTTGGAGTGCAGTGGCAGGCTTATGGCCACCACAGCCTCTACCTGCCAGGTGGGCTCTGGTGATCCTTCCGTCTCAGCCTTCCAAGTAGCTGGAACTACAGGCATGCGCCACCATGCCAGGCTTATTTTTTGATTTATTATAAAGATGTCTCAATCAAGTTGCCCGGGCTGGTCTCTATCCTCCCAGCTTAGGCTGTCCTCTTGCCTCAGCCTCCCAAAGTGCTGGGATTACAGGCTTGAGCCACCGCGCCCGGCCGTATTTGTTTAATTACCCATTCTCTGATCCTACTCCCTAGAGGTTTTTGTTTTAGTTATTTTGGGGTTGAATTAAGGTTTGTGTAGTTGCATAGTATCACAGGTAATTCTGATAACTATTCCTGGAAGAGAGCACTCCTTTGTTACTTCTTCTCTGCCACCCTCAATGAAATAGAGAATATTCCTCCAATACAAGTAAAGACATGGAAAAATTCTAAACAGATCTTCCCAGGTCTTTATGGAAAGCTTTTCTTTTTCTTTTTCTTTTCTTTTGGTTTTTTTTTTTGACTTGTAACCCAGGCTGGAGTGCATTGGCATGCTCACAGCCACCACAGCCTTGACCTGCTGGGCTTAGGCGTTCCTTCCACCTCAGCCTTACAAGTAGCTAGAACTACAGACGCACCCCACCACGCCCGGCTAGTTTTTGTAATTTGTTGTAGAAACGAGATCTCACCAAGTTGCCCAGGCTGGTCTTGAACCCCCTGGTTTAGGCAGTCCTCTCGTCTCAGCCTCCCAGAGTGCTGGGATTATAGGCTGAGCCACCATGCTCAGCCCTTTTTTTTTTTTTTCTTAGCACAGAAGCAGAAAATATGACATTGTATTTTTAAATAGCTTAGTTTCAGGATATTTTAAGCCATTCTAGGAGTGTCTTGCCAGATGTGCTATAAATTCTTTATTTATTATAAATCTAGATAGAAGAGGAGTTATGGGAAGAAGAATTTATTGAACGCTGTTTCCAAGAAATGCTGGAAGAAGAAGAAGAGCATGAGTGGTTTATTCCAGCTCGAGATCTCCCACAAACTATGGACCAAATCCAAGACCAATTTAATGACCTTGTTATCAGTGATGGCTCTTCTCTGGAAGATCTTGTGGTAAAAAGTTTTTCATCTTTTTAAATCCTAGCACATCTTTCCTATAAGTGGAAAAGCCAGCTACCATCTGTTTGAGAAGTGTTCTGCATCTGTTCTCTCTATAGACTGTGCTGCTTCTTACAATGGAAGCAGAGGTCTCCCAGTCTTACGACATGGAGTATTCTGGCAATATTGTAGTGCTAGTCTTTGCCAATTAACGAACTTCTAGTCTTGATGTTGCCCTAAGATACTTAAATGACTTAGGAATTAATTTCTTTTAAAAACATACAATAGTTGCATGTGACTTGCCTGTACAAAAATATCTTCATGGAGAAGTTTTGCGCTTTAATCTTGTCCTCAACATTTGGATTTCACCAATATTTCAATGCAAATTTTTATCTGAAAGGTAAAGTTTTGGTGATCTTTTCCTGACCCAGGCTTTTTGTTGAGGTACCCAGTATGTTTGGAACTGTGGTTTAATAAGGAATTTTATAAGCTGTTGGCAAAAAGAGACACATTTGTGTTTTCAATTATTCTCAGTGTCTTGTCACTGATGCTATATTTACAGTAAAAAGTTTTTTCAGGAATTATTATAACTAACCATCAGCACTAGAGTTGAATCTGATGAGCCCTTCACTTAAAATTAAGGTAAAATAATTTCTGAAGTCACACAAAATTTTCTCAAAGTCTGAATGTTAACCTTTCTGTCCATGTTTACAGTCTCTAGTTCCTTCTACAAGATAGTGCTCTGGAATGTACCCACTGGACTCTGAAGTATGTTTTGTAATTGAATTCTGGTCACTGTGCAGTGATTTCCTAAAATGTACATCGTAATTACCTATGAAGCATATAATACAAAAACCAGTTTCTCATCTGTATCCCAGACCTGGAGAGTCGATCTTCTAGGCATGTTAATTTCTTAAATGCACTCCAGAGGATTTATTATACAGCCAACCTGCCCAAGTCAGGCATTTGAAAACTATTCGTATGCAGTGGCTCAAGCCTTTGTAATTCCAGCACTTTGGGAGGCCAGGGCGAGAGGATTGTCTGAGTCCGGGGTTCAAGACCAACCTGGGCAACTTGGTGAGACCTTGTCTCTACAATAAATCAAAAAGTTAGCCAGGCATGGTATTGTGTGCCTGTAATTCTAGCTACTTGGAAGGCTAAGGCAGGAGGATTGCCTGAGCCCAGCAGGTTGAGGCTGCGGTGGCCATGAGCATGCCACTGCACTCCAGCCTGGGCAACAGAATTAGACTCCAACTCAAAAAAAAAAAAAATGAATGATGTAGAGAGCATTGAAGTTTATGTTGCGATATAGCCTTTGCTGCAGTAATGAGGTAACCCAATTGAGCCAGATGTATGATCTGAACAGTGTAGGGTCATGCTTGCTTATGGCTCCATTAAGTCACACCACAAATAATCCTGGTTGCCCTGCTGAGTAAAGCTGGGCATAATGTATAACTTTAATCTAGACGTAGTACAGAAACTAGTTTGTCTATTTGCTTTATTTGCTTTGCTTCATTCTTATTTTTCTGTACTTGCCAAAAGATTGTACATTTAAGAACACTGCTTTTAAAAAAAAATTTTCACACTTCTGGAGTGTAGGTACATTTCCCTTGGTGGAAGGTAGAATATATCCTGACCAAGGAAATTACTGTGTACAAATTACAAAAGTAAAATTATTGCTCCAACATGCTGTTTAATGTTATGCATTGGTCTTAAAGTAAAATAATGTAGGGTCAAATTCACTGTAAAAGCCTGCCAGCATGCCTGCACTTCAGGCCCTGATTTCTTTTCGTCTTTACTAACTTGCAATCTAAAATGTGATCAAGGGAAATTTTCAGCTATTCTTCTTGTACACTCACAGGTCTACTCGGGACAGTAAAGAGTTAGAGACAGAACACTGTTGATACAAGTCTCTAAGGCTCTTAGAGATTTTGGCTCATTTCTCCCTTTAAAAAAAAAAAGAATCCCAAAGAAGGTGACTTCTCTAAGCTTACATAGAAGTTAGAGGCAGAGCTGGGGTTTCAGACTTAGGTCTTCTGGCTCCCCAGTAGTTTTCTTTTCCTGTTATATACCATGCTTCCTGTGGGAATTAAAAGACAGCAACTGTAGAAAGACAACTCACTGTCATTAAGGGTCATAAAGTAAAATAAATTCATCAATAATTCCCCAGTTACTTTAACCATAATTCCAACACTTGTTTAACATATTTATATAATATGAAAGTGTTTAAAGACAGTCAAGTATCATAGATTAACAGAATTTCTTGTTCAGTGCTATTGCTTTAATTTATGTGAGGTTACTGGGTTTCTGGGTACACTTAAGCAAACTAAATTTCAAATTCTACTTTCTTACTAGAAAATTATCTGATGTAATAGATAGCTTACATCTGATTTCTCCTTTTCCTGCCATATTTGTTTTTTGGGGTTACAATCAGTTTTTACAATCAGTTCTTGCTTTTGTCCTGTATTTTTTTTTTTTTTTAGATTGGAAAATATAGTTTCTATTTAGAAAGTAAATGAGAGCCTGAGCCCGGGGTTCGTGACCTGCCTGGGCAACTTGGCGAGACCTCATCTCTACAATAAATCAAAATGAGCCGGGCCTGGTAGCGCGTGCCTGTAGTTCCAGCTACTCGGAAGGCTGAGGCGGAAGGATCGCCGGAGCCCAGCAGGTCGAGGCTGCGGTGGCCGGGAGCGGCCACTGCACTCCAGTCTGGGTGACAGAGTGAGACTCCAACTCGAGAAAAAAAAAAAAAAGAAAGTAAATGAGAAAGAGAATAGATTCACCTCCCCAAGGTAGGGGAGGGGCCAAAGCAAGGAAACATGGCACTTATAGCTTAAAGAGCCACCTGGCCTGACCAGAGTTTAACAAAGCAATGGCCTTGTCCTGTATTTTTTTGAAGATATTTTTGCATGAGGATCTAGGTTGAATGCTTCCGAGTATCTGAAGCCATCTGTTAATGAACTTGCTTTTTTATGTACTTATTTTCCAGGTCAAGAGCAATCTGAATCCAAATGCAAAGGAGTTTGTTCCTGGGGTGAAGTACTAAATATTTGAGTAGACGGGGCCCTCTTTTGGTGGATGTAGCACAATTTCCACACTGTGAAGGCAGTATTAGAAGACTTAATTGTAAAAGCTCTCTTGTCACTGTGTTACACTTATGCATTGCCAAAGTTTTTGTTAGTCTTGCATGCTTAATAAAAGTGCTGAGACTGTTACTAAGTTAAAAGCTGTCAAACATTTACTGAAAACAGAATTGGCCCCATGGCTTGATGTGAAGACAGTGAGGAAAGAAGCACCAGTCAAGTTGTGTAAAAGCACCAAATTAAAAGACCTCTAAATCTTACTAAATTGTCGTCTTTGAGGTTAAACTGGTCCCCTAGGGTTAAATAACACTTGTAGATGTCTAAACTTTTTTAAAATCAGTAAACTTAAATTGTTTTGTTAAGCAGATTGCTCAGTTCACACTTAAATTTGCATTTGTCCCGTCAGAAAGAATCTGCTTTTTCTGAAGAAGGTCTGTTAATATGAGATAATTTGTTTGTGTTTTTTTTAATCAATATTTTTTAATATTGGGTACAGTTAAGGCTTAAGTATACAAATATGCTTCGTTCAGGCACCCTTGTTGATAAGGGGTGTCTCCCCGTGAGATAATTTGTTATAGACAAGTATGTCTTTGATTCTGAGGTAGTGGTCAGATGAGAGCTAGTCCTGGCTACTCTGGTATATTATTATGTTAGGGATACTGAATTCTGCTCCTGATGTTACGTCTGAGAAAGTATGTGATTTGAAAAGTGCATCTTCTAAGGATTCATTATATGACCAACACCAACCCGTAATCCAATTGAACAAAAATATTGTAACATGATTTGAGTGGTGCTTTTCCTTGCTTTGTTAACCATCCTGACAGTAGTCTGCAGCACAACTTTTCTTTTAACAAAGCTAGAACAGTTTCAGCTTCTTAAACTTCATATTTGGGTAGGTTAAGCTGCCATATGTGTTCAGTGTGAATAGTGTTTAAGTTGAAAATATTGTAAAAAAATTATATTTTTTCAAAAATATTTAAAAAAATAAATAATAGTAGAACTGAGCTGATGGTTGTGTTTTTTGATGCTGGAATGCAGACTCTCCAGTAGTGAAACTCACTTTAGTATAGGCTCACCACCTCAGGACAGCCTTGCTGGCAAAATGTGCTAAGAATCAGTCTTTGTTAGATTCCATAGCAGCACATATGTTGTTGTGTAAGTATCTGTCCAAAATACAGCAGTAAAATAAACCCCATTACCATCCCTGCTTTTTATCACCTCAGGCTGCATTGTCAAGCCAATAATAGACAGCCATGTAAGGAACTTTATGGCTGGCCAGTATGGTGGTGGCCTTACTCTAGTATAGCCTCCATTGTTTTCTGCCCTTCACAAGGGCTTTCTTGAGTTTGTTGGATCAAGATCAAGGCTGCATAGTCAGTTCTGGCTCACATTGTTCTGGAGATGAGGGGTCCTTTGGTGTGAGCCCTAATATGTATGCTCAGTATTTTTTAATAGTCACTTTAACAAATGAATAAATAGGTGAGTTTTGTTTCGGTTTGAGTTAGAATCTTCCTCTGTGGCCCAGGCTGGAGTGCAATGGCATGCTCATGGGCCAACATAGCCTCCACCTGCTGGGCTCAGGCAATCCTTCCGCTTCAGCCTTCCAAATAGCTGGAACCACAGGCATGCGCCACCACGCCCAGCTACTTTTTTGATTTATTGTAGAGATGAGGTCTTGCCTAGCTGCCCAGGCTGGTCTTGAACCCCTGGACTCGGGCACTCCTCTTGCCTCTGCCTCCCAAAGTGCTGGGATTACAGGCATGAGCCACCGCACCCAGCATAGGTAGGTTTTTTTTTTTTGAGTTGGAGTATCACTCTGTCACCTAGACTGGAGTGCAGTGTCCACTCCCTGCCACCGCAGCCTCAACCTGCTAGGCTCTGGTGATCCTTTCACCTCAGTCTTCCAAGTAGCTGGAACTACAGGCGTGTGCTACCATCCCGGCTAATTTTTAATTTATTGTAGAGATGAGGTCTCACCAAGTTGCCCAGGCGGGAAACCCGCAGGCTCAGGGCAGTCCACTCACCTCAACCTTCCAAGGCGCGGGATTACAAGCTGAGCCACCAAGCCCAGCTTATAGGTAGGTTTTTAAAGAAACTCTGGGCTGGGCACAGTGCCTCAGCCTTTGTAATTCCAACACTTTGGGAGGCCAAGGTGAGAGGATTGCCTGAACCTCGGGGGTTCGAGACTAGCCTGGGCAACTTGGTGAGAACATGTCTCTATAATAAATCACAAAAAACAAACCAGGTATGGTGGCATGCGTCTGTAGTTCCAGCTACTTGGAAGGCTGAGGCGGAAGGATCACCTGAGCCCAGCAGGTCGAGGCTGTGGGCTGTGATAGCCGTGAGTATGCCACTGTACTCAGCCTGGGCAACAAGTGAGACTCCAACTCAAAAAATAGTAAGAAAAAAAAAAAAAATATATATATATATATATATATATTAGGCCGGGCTTGATGGCTCAGCCTGTAATCCCAGCACTTTGAGAGGCTGAAGCAAGTGGATTGCCTGAGCCCGTGGGTTCAAGACCCACCCGGGCAACTTGGTAAGACCTCATCTCTACAATAAATCAAAAATTAGCCAGGTGTGGCAGTGTGAGCCTGTAGTTCCCGCTACTTGGAAGACTGAGGTGGAAGGATTGCCGGAGCCCAGAAGGTCGAGGCTGCGGTGGCCGGGAGCGACCACTGCACTCCAATCTGGGCAACAGAGTGATACTCCAACTCAAAAAAACCCAAAAAAACAAAAAACAATGAGGCTCTGAGGCAGGAACAGTCATGCTTGACTCTTGGTCTTTTTGGAGCCACGAAGCATCCAGTCCCCCCTGTTCTCTAATAGCTCAGTACAAAGGGCACAGCAAGCTGCCGAATATATGAGGCTGACAGATCATTTCTCTGGGGCACATGAGTTCATTTCTACATACTGCCAACTTATAGGGCGGTATAAGAGCAAAGGCTCTAACCAGACTTTCTGGATGTGAAGCCTGTGATCATAAGCAAGTCAACCTTTCTGTGCCTTAGTTTCCACATCTCTAAAAGACAGTAGTAACATCTTTCGCTGGATTGTGTGATTAGTTAATATACATCAAGCACTTAAGACAGTCCCTGGCATATAGTCCTGTTTAAGTGATGCTAATGTTTTCTCTATTTAGGAGTCACCTAGGCTAATCTCTCTCTTTCTTGGAGTTTTCTGTCTGAGGAGACAAGCACATTGAAACCACTTCAGAGTTTAACTAGAGAGCCAGGCATCTGTATTATAGGTAGAAATGGTAAGTTTCAGAGCATCAGCTGCCTACACATTATGAAGCCCTGTGGACAAATGATCCCCTCATCAGGACCTGTACAGGCATAGTGTTAGGGTGATTGAAATCCTGTTTTAAAGGGTTTTAATTTTATGACCATTATTGAAACAAGGCAGCATATATGAAGGTATTTTGTCAGTTCTTGTCCCATGTCAGTATTTCTCAATCTTTTCCATGTCAAATATAAAAATGATATTTGTTCAGCATACTGGAGTGCACAAGGGATGAGGCTGCCTATGGCTGGAGTTACTAGCTTGTAGACTCCACTTGGCCATTATACTGCCCAGGTATCTGAAAGGCCAAAGGGATCAATATTTCAGCATAACTGTAACCTCAGTGCCCGTAGGAGATTCTCTCACTAAAAAATGGCTAAGGAATTCCACCCAAAATCCATATATTGACATTTTACCTAATGTACCTTCTTATTTTATTTATTTATTTTTTGGGGTTGGAGTCTCACTCAGGTCGCCCAGACTGGAGTGCAGTGGCCGCTCCCAGCCACCACAGCCTCGCCTGCTGGGCTCCGGCGATCCTTCCGCCTCGGCCTTCCGAGTAGCCGGAATTACAGGCATGCGCTACCACACCCGGCTGATTTTTTGATTTATTGTAGAGATGAGGTCTTGTTGCCCAGGCAGGTCTCGAACCCACGGGCTCAGGCAATCCACTCACCTCAGCCTCCCAAAGGCGCGGGATTACAGGCTGAGCCACCAAGCCCAGCCGTAATGTACCTTCTTGAGGACACTTATACAGGTCACAAAAATGGAAACTGAGTAGTTACGTTTTTCTTTGGATATAGAATATGAATAAAGCCGGGCTCGGTGGCTCAGCCTGTAATCCCGCACCTTGGGAGGCTGAGGTGAGTGGATTGCCTGAGCAACTTGGTGAGACCTCATCTCTACAATAAATCAAAAAATCAGCTGGGCGTGGTAGCGCACACCTGTAGTTCCAGCTACTTGGAAGGCTGAGGCGGAAGGATCACTGGAGCCCAGCAGGTCGAGGCTGCCGTGGCTGGGAGCGGCCACTGCACTCCAGTCTGGGCAACGGAGTGAGACTCCAACTCAAAAAAAAAAAAAGAATATGAATATTTTGATTATTCAGCCCTCCCACAAAAACTGTAGACACATACCTTTCCTGGAAGAAATTTTTTCAGACCTTGGTGCACACGGACCCAGTTTCTGTAGTTTCTGGAGTGTCTTCTGGAACTGGAAGCTGATCTTTTGTCCTTGAAGAAAATCCTTTGAAGACTGGGCAGATAGGAACATATTTCAGAAAGGCAATCCTTTTTACCATGTCCATCCCAATGGGGAAGTCATAGCTTTTGAGACTGCTAGAAGTGTCACTGTTGGCATGAGCCCCGGCTTTCCACTGTATCAGACCACGTTCCTCTGGGCTCCCTGGAAGAGGACAATGAGGTCATTTACCAGTGTCAGCAACCCTCTGCTGCCTCCCCTTCCCATAACCCATTCCTAAGGCAGACTTCTAGAATCAAGTGTCCTTTCTTAAATATCATCTGGTCCTAAAAAGTTGAATACATTGTTTCTGAGCTCCTAACTTGGCCAGAACTCTAGGGAACACTAAATGATACACTAAATGAGATGTTTTCATTATCTCGTTTTTTTCTTTTTCATTTTTTTTTTTTTGAGTTGGCGTCTCTGTTGCCCAGACTGGAGTGCAGTGGCCGCTCCCAGCCACCGCAGCCTTGACCTACTGGGCTCCAGTGATCCTGCCACCTCAGCCTTCCAAGTAGCTGAAACTACAGGCGCGCACTAACCACGCCCGGCCAATTTTTGATTTATTGTAGAGATGAGATCTCACCAAGTTGCCCAGGCGGGTCTCGAACCCACAGGCTCAGGCAATCCACTCACCTCAGCCTCCCAAAGCACGGGATTACAGGCTGAGCCACCGAGCCCGGCCTCAAGCAATCTTTCTATCTCAGTCTCCTGAGCAGCTGGGACCACAGACATTGCCACCACATCCAGCTAATTTATTTATTTGTAGAGACAAGGGCTCACTTTGTTGCTCAAGGCTGGTCGTTTTTTTTTTTTTTGAGGTGGAGTCTCACTCTGTCACCCAGGCTGGAGGGCAATGGGTCTGGAACTGGGGCCTCAGGCAGTCCACTCACCTCGGCCTCCCAAAGCGCTGGGATTACAGGCTGAGCCACCGAGCCTGCCTGTTTTTATTTTTTTTGAGTCAGAGTCTCACTCTGTCGCCCAGGCTGGAGTGCAGTGGCATGCTCACAGCCACCACAGCCTCGACCTGCTGAGATCAGGTAATCCTTCCACCTCAGCCTTCCAAGTAGCTGGAATCACAGGCACATGCCACTATGTCCAGCTAATTTTTCTTGATTTATAGTAGAGATGAGGTCATGCCTTTTTTTTTTTTTTTTTT